ACAGATTGGTGCAGAAACGGGGATGTTTTTAGTCGCCGAGTGTATAGCCTCGCGGCCAATCGCCTCCTCTTCCTGTAAACAAGGGTGTGTGTGTCCAGGGGTGTGGTAACGGCCTGCGGTCACAAAATTCAATTCCGTTCGGTGCGCTGGTGTTTGATCTTTCGTAACGATCACCGGAGTGGAGGTGAAATTAATACGGGCGCTCGGGTGTGATCCCGCACCATTGTTATTGCTGCGTACAAAAAGCTCTGTAGTGCTGTGAAACCGCAGCTCAGTGATTTTTCCTTCTCCTATCTCGGCACGGGACACTTCGATGCCTCTCAAACAAACCCCTCGTCCCGCCACGGCCGCGGCTGCTCGTACTGGCGCGTCACGGGCTCTGTCCGGGCGCGTCACAGCGGACCGGGCGTCACAAGCGTCACACCGTCCGTCACGGCGGGCGTCACGGCGCAGCGGGCGTCGAACGAGCCGAAACCGGGGACCGATCGGCCGGCGGCCGGAAGTGCCGGCCAACAGTGACAGCGCCAGGTGTGGCGGTATATACGGTGATTGAGGGGGCGACCGCGGCGGTCGTTGCGGCTGGCCTCACTTAGAGCAGCGCGGTGGGGCGTGAAAGGAACAGGACCGATAGTGAACGATACCTATACACCGAAGGCTGTCTTTACCTAATAAGCTATTTTTCCTAGTCAATTTAAAAATGTGGATGCATCCCGACCTTTTATTTATATTCTATTCGTTATTTCAATTATGTCTCATCAAATAACTGTTTTTCTGTACTAAGTTTCTTACCTGCCTCAAGTAGCGTAAATATCAACATATGTCTTCGGTATTAATTAATTGTGCTCAATTTGCTAATTGTGGTTTTCCAGCATCTATTTACCGCAGCATTTAAGTCTTCACATTCCTATGATCATCATAAGGAACCCTCTTTGATCCTCTGTCGGTACAATATTATCCCTTCGTCTTCCAAACATCGGAAGAGCTGCCGGATGTGCCGAGCGGAGCGAGAGAGCTCGGGGGAGGGGGGGGGGGCTGAGGAGTCATCAGCTGGAACAATACGTCTGCTCTCCTCTGTGGGGCTTAGTGCGGGATCGGCCCGGCTGTTTGGCTGTCGGCCGCAGAGCTGGCGTCACAAATTACTGCCGCCCCCGCCCCCGCCCTCGCCCCCACCGTCCACCCGCCCGTGCCGTCTGCCGCCCGCCCGGCCATGGGACGGGTGATTGTGGGGAGGCGCGCCGCCGGATTAGGGGAAAGGATCGGGCCGTGACAGCACTAGTCTGCTGATGGAAAGACCTCATCTGCGCGGCGTCTTTCTGAGAACGTCCGCCCTGCGTCATCGTCGGCAAAGCAAACAGCCGTGCCAAAATAAGTAATGTGTAGCGGTGCATCACGCGCATTACACTGGACTTTGTGTGAATATGTTTACCCGGTCTTCACAAAAATATTGGGTAGGTTCTGATTTAGGTATGCATTTCGCAAAATAAAAAAGTGAAAGCATACAGCCACTGACCGTGGCGGTGCATGTGTGCGCCGTTAAATAACGCTTTAAGCGAATAAAAATATTTTTTTATGACAATAATTCGCCTTGAGCATGATCATATAGAGCTCATTACATTACAGCCATCGTTACAGTCTTGAGCAGTAAAGTGATTTTTGTTCAGTAGTCTGGACAGTGATTTTAAGGCGATCACAATTTTGCTTCAGATGAAAAGAACATGTCTAACATGCAAATACCAATCCAAAATCAGAGAACGTCCAATTCAATTTCCCAGTCTCTGACCCCTGACCTGACCAGCAGTCTCCTTTGCCGTCCAGCCAATCTAAATCCTGGTCACCGTGTCCAGGGAGCACGGCTGGCCGGCGATTCAGCCGACGGCGGTGGCCGGCTCCGTAGGCGCACCTGACAGCTTAATAAGGGCCCGAACCGTCATCAACGTCGCAGTCGATGGAGGTGACGGACAGGGACAGGGACGGCGGCGGCGGCGGCGGCGGTGGGCGGCGTACGATAGCCTACGTTAGTAGACGGTGGACTGCTCTGGTGGCGAGGAGGTGGGGTGCCCGCGATATGGGGACAGGATATCGCGGCTTTTGCTCGGAGTCGCGGCGGAGCGGGTCGGACTAGCGGGGACCGTCAGTGGCCGGATATTGGATGTCTCCGTGGGTGACGTGCGTTAACGGACGTCATCTGTGATGTGCGGCCTCAGAGGTGGCGCAGTCTTCCTGTGAGAGTTTGACGGAGAGTGGTGTCAGCTTGGCTGTTTGGGTTGGCTATATGAGTTCATGGCATGAGGGGACGCATGGATTGGCTGATCTAGAGCCAATTTGAGGAATGTATGCGAGCACAAGGCCGGAAAATAATTGACCCTAGTTGGAGCCGAATCGGGATCGAAATAAGAATGCGGATGATCGTACAATTCAAGACAAAATTAATGCATCATTTTCGAACCCCTTTTCGTAGCCGGCGCGGGGGTTGTCCTTCAGCTATGTAACTCCAATAACACTATGCAACAGGCATTTTGTTCCTGAGTAACGACTGATTTTTTTGGACTCATTGGGTCCCATTATAACCGAAATGGGCATTTGTTTTGATCTGAAAATGCTTTTCCGGTTTTCAGAGACGATTTTCGATTTTTGGTCCCGAAATTCGGTTTTTGGCCCACTGTGTCCGGTGCAATTGAGTAATCGACTCGCGGTAACTTTCATCGCCCTTGCTATGCCACAAGCTTTCGAATGATATCCGGTTTTGCATATTTGCGTGTAAAAATAACGTCATAAATCTATGTTAAAGTAAGAAAATATTGAAATTTTGTAAAAATTTGACATTTTTTCGATTTCATTTCAAAATAGAGAAAAAACTAAAGGCCCTATCCAAATTCTGAGCCCAGTTCCCTTAAGAGCATTCATGTTCCGTTCGGAAGGTACTATTTTAGTGCATTTTATCGGTTTACTGTGGCGTCCAGATTGAGTCACTTGAAAAACGGGCCCGCAGCCATTTCCATGACAATATGTGTTCAGTGCATGAAGAATCATTCTAACAAATGGAGGTACAGATCAAGATTCTGAGCGACAGGACTGCTCAAAAGTAAGTTCCTGCGTGTGACCCGAGGTCACAAGGGGTCAATAACATGACCTCAGTTGACCCCTCGTTGATCCTATGGCGTTAACCCGCGCGGGGCTGGGGGGGGGGGTAAATTTTACCCCCCTCGCGAATTTTTGCGATATCTCAAAAACGGCGGCGCGCAGCGCCGCCAAACTTTCAGTACCTTTTCTTACATCAATTTGACACGTTCCCTGAAAATTTGAGCGAAATCCGTCGGAAAATTTTTGAGAAATTGACGTTTTAGTGACGTCATGTTCGCCATTTTCGCCTCAAAAACGGCAAAAGTTCAAACGCCGCTAACATCTTCATTTTTAAAGGAATCAAGACGTAACAAAAAAGGTTATGCGTAATTTTACTTTGTCTATCAAATGGCTATCTCGGTTTTTTGAAAAGTTTTGATTTTGGCCTAAATTTTTTCAAAAATCTGACTTTTGGGAAAATCATTATAAACTCCAAAATTTTGAGTCTATCGAAAAAACCGGAATATATGTCAGAGAAGTGGTCTATGTGCACCTACATACCAAATTTTAGAAGAATCGGTTCAAAAATGTTGGAGTTATTCAAAATTTTATGACGTCACGACACACAATTTTTTTTTTGAAAAATTACTTTTTTGGAAGTTCTAGACCTCGTACGGAAACAAAAATAGCACCATTCGATTCGCCGTGAAAAACTGCATCAGATAGACACCTTTTTAGGCCTTAACAACCAACTTCAAAATTTGACCTCACTTGACCCGACCTTGACCTGACCTCGACCTGAAATTCATCCAGAGGTGGTCCATATCACTTATTGAGTGTGCCTATTGAATTCTATGAGTAAAATGACCCATAAAACATGTGTCGCACATGCCCTTTTCTATATTTTGTTTTTTGGTGACCTGACCTGACCTGACCTGACCTTGACCTTGACCTCTGAATGATATTGTATGCAACGAATATTGTCTTGGTAGCCTAAGAACACGTTTTGGGCGATAAGTCTCAGTCCATGACTCCATTCTTCGGCAACTACGGTGCAAGGCCGATACTGTAGAAACTTGCAATTTGTACCCTTGACCTGACCTTGACCTTGACCTCAAACTTTAAATTAAGTACATGTTTTTAGTAGTTCGTGATAAGAGCTTTCGATTGGCGTTTGAATTTTCCAAATCGGACCATTAGTTCGGGAGATAACAGGGGGGGGGGGGTAAAATTTACCCCCCCCCAGCCCCGCGCGTTCGGCTGGAGACCCCAGCCCCGCGCGGGTTAACATACGTTATCAGGTTAATGCTATGTGATATGACTTAGGATATGTGATTAGGTTAACTCAATCTGGACGCCACAGAAATCCGATAAAATGCACTAAAAAGGTACCTTCCGAACGGAAATTGAATGCTCTTCAAGGAACTGGGCTCAGAATTTGGATAGGGCCTTTAGTTTTTCCTCTATTTTGAAATGAAATCGAAAAAAATGTCAAATTTTTACAAAATTTCAACATTTTCTTACTTTAACATAGATTTATGACGTTATTTTCGCACGCAAATGTGCAAAACCAGATATCATTCGAAAGCTTGTGGCATAGGAAAGGCGATGAAAGTTACCGCGAGTCGATTACTCCATTACATCGGACACGGTGGGCCAAAAACCGAATTTCGGGGCCAAAAATCGAAAATCGTCTCTGAAAACCGGAAAAGCATTTTCAGATCAAAACTAATGCCCATTTCGGTTATAATAGGACCCAATGAATAAGAAAAATTCGGTCGCTTTCCAGGAACAGAAAATGTTTCATTTTTTGTTGCATAGTGTAATATAAAGCAGCGTAACGAAAGGCAAATTGTTTTGCGAGGACGTGTCGCACTCTTGCAATGCGAATTCACGCTATGGACGATTATTTGGTGAACGCAAAGCTGGAGACACAGCTACACAGCATGTCAGTTTATTTGTCCTCCCAGCAGCGTCGTACACACTTTTCACAGCAGAACGCGACATGTGATATTCAAAAGGTCGACTGCGAGTATTTTTCACTTTTCTGACGTAAGGAAGCAATGTTCTCATCTATTATCAAAAAAGATATGCAACACAACAAATGCACGGAAATGTTTTGCTTGGACGGTTTTATAAGTAAGCAAACAGTCCGATAGCTCGTCACCATAACTAATAATCCGGTCAGCATTGTGCTATTGGCCTTATTGTAGCCAGCAATTGTGGACGTGACGGCCAAGATAGAACTGTAAGAACAAAATAATTCGATAAATGGTCGGTAAAACAGCCATCTCTCAACACACGCAAATGTTACCGTCACAGGCAGGCGAAAGTCAAATTTTAATCAGTAACTGTCAGCAGGAGTGGCGTAACAAGACGGAACCACTGGAGGCTGCTGAACAAAAGCGCTCCATTGAGTCGACTCGCTAAGACGTAGCGTTGAAAGGCACACACATACACTATAAAATGATTTCAGTCATTCTTACAGACCACGTGCTTCTCGAAATCTCTTCCAGTATTGCGAAGCATACCATACGTTGTTATGAAACCCACTCGATCGTGTTGATGAAGACAATGTCACTGATGATCTCATACACACCGCACCAATCTGTACACAGGGAAAGTCTATCCTCAGGAGAGCGGGGTTCCCAGACTGGCGGCGATTCCCTCTAGCCTCCCAGAGAACATCATCTGCCGACTCACGGGCTCGCTGTCGAGCGCCTGCGCGATCGGCTCGCCGTACTTGGTGATGTAGATGTAGAGCTCCTTGAGCGCGGCGATGGCGTCAAACTGGCCGGCGTGGTGGCGCGACAGCTGCTGCAGCAGCACGGCCAGGTCCTGGTCACTGACCGGCGGCCGGCTCCGCACAGACTCGAAATAGTCGCCCACCATACACTGCCACCGACCAATGTCCTTGGCAAACACCAGCTTGTGCGACGGAGAGTTTTTGGAGATTGTGTGCGGCGTGGGCAGACACGCCTCCACAAGGCTCTGAGATATCACAGTGAGACTGGACTCGACGGCGGGCGACTTGTCCAGGTCAAATATCAGCTCCGGCCGGCGGATCAGGTTCGCCCACATCCGAAGCGGCAAACTGCGAAGAATGCCATATAAAAGTCAATGTCTATGCTTACAAATTGTTTATTATTTGAGTAGAGGTCCAAACAACATCTGAATATTTCAAGCGTACGATATTACCAGCGTTAGAAAGGTACCGGACTTTGTTTCGCGGTCTGCCGGCCTTAGATTACATTACTGAAACTAGATGGCGCTAGTGGTAGACGCCTGAAGTTATGCTGTTCCGCAAGGCACGAACGTATTGCGGGCGGCGCGGTGGCTTATGCTGCTCAATTCAATGGGTTGTGTGGATTCTGAGGTGGAAATCACGATTACCACCAAGATGTTGTTCTTTTAACTTTATCCTCTCCTTCAATATCATTTTCGAACGTTGTTAACGAGGGTCACGCGATCAGTGGACAGCGACGATGAATACACATGTGGCGTATAGGTGAATGGACTCTGATCGCAATTTCAGCGTCCATCGCTCACCAGTTGGCCTTCCAGGCGTGCAGGATGTCCGGCTGGTCCATCCCCTGACGCTCGGCCTCCTCATCGAGCACGTCAAACAGCCACTTGACCACCGGCGGCGGCTCCTCGTCGGCTTGGAACAGAGACGACATTGTGTCGTCTATCACACCCTGCAGCATCGCTGGAGAGACGGATATAGTCAGAAACACCGCTGGGGAGACAGACACAGCATCAGAAACACCGATGGAGAGACGGACACAGCGTCAGAAACACCGCAGACATAGCGTCAGAAACACCGCTAAAGGCATGAAAACCGCTTAATCTAGAGAATGGGCAACTCCTCAGCAGCATCGGCATGGGTAAGTCAACGATGCAAAGAAGTCCAACATTGGCAATGCTGTTCATGCCCTCTGACTCACCTTTGGTGGCGAGTAGCCGGGTGAGGAACACCTCGGGGACGGCTCTGGCGGCCGTCTCCTGACCACCGGAGCCGCCGCCTCCGCCTGCCGGACCCTCGGGACGCACCAGGTGGTACACACGGATCTCGGCGCCCGGCTTCACGTAAATGTTGGAGCTCATCAGAGGAGAGAGCGCCGACGGAAGTGAGAAACTGCTTGCAGCTAGAAAAGAAGAAGAAAAAAAAAACGTCGAAACATGCTTCATGCAAACGATTCGCTTTATAATAAGTAAAGAATTAACGGCTGATAAGAAATACTGGCTTTAGGTTTGAACTTTTTCAAAGCTTTTCATTCATTCATTCATTCAGTCATTTATTCATTCATTCATTCATTCATTCATTCATTCATTCATTCATTCATTCATTCATTCATTTTAATTCCATTGATACCATTAGGCATTCACTGAAACATAGTTCAACTTCTACTCACAGTTAGTAACAGTTTTCTTTATTCGTGGTGTCTCGGGCGCCTGCACGAGGAACATGGTGGCGATCTTGTTGATGCCGTAGTGGGAGAGGGTGTTGATCTGCCGCCAGCCGTCCACGGTCCTGCTGGTGGAGTCCTCGTCCGCCAGCGGCGTCCGCTGACCGTCCGCCGTCAGCCACACTGAAAAAGCATTGCCGTGTTTTCAGACATTCTTTCGGAATGACAAGAAAACGCCAGATAACTTCACCAGTTATTTTAAATGTGACTATATTCTGCTTGGTAGAATAAACTCGCGTTACTCACCTAGTGCGACGCAGTGGTGGCTGGGCCGCTGCGAGGCGGGCAGGCCGCAGAACACCGCGTCGATCACCTTCTGCTTCACCTGGCTGATGGAGTCGCAGTCGAGCGCGTGCACCTTCACCTTGTCAATGACGTCCTCGTAGTGGCGAGGCTGGCTCTGGTAGTCGTTACATGGGATCTTCTCGTACGGAGTTTCTTCAGTCGTCACCAGTAACGTCTGGGAAACATTTTAGTGCTTTCAACTTCTAATCAAGATAAGATAGGTAAAATTTTCAACACTCATCAAAGCACAGGAGCGCAATGTGCAAAACAAAGTTTTCACGTTGCTGACTTGAATGATTTCCTTACCACGCTGTTGTGTTCGATCTGGGGTCGGAGCAGCCGCTCCTCTGCCAGGCTGTAGTGAGCCTCCAGGGTGACGGCGTCCACGGGACCGCACGAGATCTGGTGTTTGATGGCCTTGGTGAGCAGGCACAGCCGGGACGACAGATGCTCCCGGATGTGGCTGCAAACATTCGATCGGATTGCAACAGCGTTTGTCTAATTCGCAGGTGGCAAGGCGAGCAAAGCAAAACTAAATGTTTGTTTAAGCGGGTTAGTCATCAGACTGGGCGTTAATTTGTACCTGTAATAATTTCGTTCAAACTAAATATTTGTATGTATGTTTGTGTGCCCCCCCCCCCTGTCGCCCGAGCGGGGATGTCAGAACCGCCGTGGTCCCACGTGGTCTAGTGGCTAGGATATCTGGCTTTCACCCAGAAGGCCCGGGTTCGATTCCCGGCGTGGGAGGTGTTTAGCTAGGCATATGGTTCGTGCCTCATCTTCTCAATTCACATATGTTTTTATACATTTCTGACCTATGAAGGCAGACGGAGATCCAGTTGGTGAGCAGCTTCTCCATAACGGTCTCTGTTCGTCTGAGCATCAGGTGCGGGTGCCGGGACCTGGCTATGCGGGAAATGTGTCGGACCAGCAGCTGGTGGAGCACGGTGGTCAGGTACTCCATGTTGGTCATCAGGATCACCGTCAGCAGCGACGCCACCGTCACCCTGCGGGGGACGCAGAAACGTCAAAAGGACTATCACCGTCGGGCATTCATCCCAGTTGTATGTAACCAATAACCGTCTAGTTTTCTCCGAACGGGAGCACATGAATTTTTGATGCAGCAAGGTGTGTCGAAGACCAGTTAAGTCATCGATAACTCAACATGAACTAAGCTATCCCTAGCACAAACTTCCGTCTCTATGTAGCAAGTTGTGCAGCGGTTCCCCGAAAATGAACGTCAACGCAGCCGCCACTGACCGGTCCCGGACGGAGAAGTCCTTTTGTCGCTCCATGGTGTCGATGACGGTGACGAGGAAGTGCTGGTTCCTGACGAGCTGCTCCAGCTGTAGCATGGCCACGTCCAGCGAGGTGCGAGGGCTGGTCGGAGACGACGGACGCTGCCGGCTCAGGATCGGGTGCTCCGCGATGCCAGGAAACAAAATCTGAAACGTCCAACGAGCGACTTGTAAAAAAATACGTTTCGGAAATAATTGATTGTAAAAAACGAATCTCCACAATAAAAAGCTCAGTCATGAACAAATCAGCAGCTCAAATGTTTGGCGACTTGCCTTGGCGAGGAACTCTCGCTGCTCGAGACAATCGACCTCGTCGGGGTTGAAGGTGGCGGCCAGGCTGCTCAGCTGGGCCGGCAGGTCGGGACTGGCCGCCGCCAGTGTGTCCCGGCCGCGCCGCGAGTCCCACGTGCACATGGCCGCGAACGCCTGCTTGCACTCGGAGCGGATGTTGTTCTCGAGCGTGTCCATCTGGATCTGGATGCGCTTGTACTCTCGCTCGACCTGAGTGGACTTGCGCCGGTAGACGAGCAGGATGAGCAGGGAGGCCAGCACGAGCACCACGGCGCCGGCCGCGATCCCCGCTATCACCTCGCCGCTCAGCTGAAACAGAGACACAGCGCTGGAGTAATCAGCCGTGGAGCTGAAAACAGTCCTGCTGTCGGAGAAGTGCCAAGTTCTGATGGTGCGTCATTAGATAGCGACGCGAGTTAATAGCGCTATAAAAGAGGCTTTGCGAGAACAAGTTGGCTCTTACCTAAATTGCTCAAGAGATAGTAGGTACTATAAGTTTTGAGTTGGGATTTCCAAATTGTAGACACTGCTACGAGTAAGTGTTAAACGATATGTACGGACAAAGTTTAACTTTCCTTGAAACATCTCGCTGAAGCTGAAATATCGGTCGCATCACATCAACGTGTTCACATTAGTTTGTAACGAGTCGTAGTCACTACGTTTACTACGGCTGGTAAATCTAAGGCCGACAAACTTTGCGAACTTGGAAATCCTTACAATATCCCGGAGTTTTCGGTCCGCCTTTCATTTTAAATTAATCGAGTACCCACCGACCCTTAGAGAAACTATCTTACCCTAGCTTTGCGGACATCATCGTACTGCAAGTTTCCGAGCGGGAAGCGGAGGTTTCCGACGGTGACCTGCACCCGCGGCAGGCCGGTCTGCTCCGAGAGCAGCATGCCGTCCGACTGTCTGCGCGGCGGCACACACACCAGCTGTGTGTCCGTCAGCGTGGTGACGTTACACGGCACGCCGCCCACCGTCACGGCCGTGTCACGCTCGTCACTGGCGCCGTTCAGGTTCACACCCTGAAGACGACAGATTATCTTGAAATTAGATTTTATAACAAGGACGGCGGGAAACCCAAATCGACTGGAGACAGAAGTTTGTGCTCAGTATCGTCAACGCGTCCAACTTATCTACAACTTTCGATCACTGTCCTCCCAGCAAATGAGTTATCCAATGGGACATTTCTGAGCGAAACTACTATGTTGTCTAGTCGGGAGAGCTGTGAACACAATGCTGCGCTCCAGGCTTCGAATGGGAGAAAGCCGTTCACTTCAAACGACTGAACTAATGATCTCGATCGACCCATGCACAAACGAGCAAGCGCGCTGATTGCTGTAGGGAGGATGCAGTCAAACAAAACAACACCAAACATGCCAAGGTAAACGATGTTAACGAATTGAAACATTATTCAAAATGATAAGCTTTAATTATTTGGTTTAGTCGTGATCGTTATTTGTCATCGTTAACACAATCTTTATGACACGTCATATAACAATAGTTCTTTTTTATTTGAGTCCTTACATGATAACATACAATAAGAGATCCAAAGAAGTTACGAGACAATCGCCTTTCCTCTCACCTCAATAACCAGTGTATTCCCTCCGAAAACCTTGACCCCGTCAGCAAACTGAAAGTACTGCGGATCGTCCACATAAGTGATGGTCGCCTTGACATTAGGAGCATACTTCCGGAGATTCCTCACGCGCTCCACCCCATCCATCAGAAAACTGATCTGCAAAGTAGTGCAGCCCCGTAATTGACAACAAACCCAATCATATCAGATGTCATACATCAGAGCCGACACCACTATAGCCGACGGACATGAAACACAAATGACAGCCACTTAGCGGCATATAAATCAAGTCAATAGCGACAACCTCCGCTGGGCACGCGTGCAGCGTGCAGGAAATTTAGTCATTATAGCTGGCTGCAGCAGTGCTGACTAAAGCGGAACAACTTACTCGTAGTTCTCTGGGTCCCAGTGGGTCGGCCGGAGAGTTCCAGGAGGCTGCGGGGCGCCGGACAGCTCTCTGAGCTCGGGCAGCTCGAGGAGCTCCGACAGCCCTCGGAGCTCGGAACGCCCGCGAGGCTCGGTAGCTGAACAGTGCGGAGAGCTCGGGGGTCTCGTTGGCGAGGGGCGGCAGCGCCGGCGACGGACACTCCATGAGACTGGACGACAGCACCTGACACAGCTGGGCGGGGAGGGAGAGAGTTAGAGGTTTGTCTTTGCTAGGCAAAACAACAGAGGCGTGAGGTGTAAGCAGAACAAGTTACCGAATAAGCGTGCGTATTTTCACTACACAGGAATGTGTTACCACTAGAAGGGGAAACGTAGCTAGAAGAAGTGTCCCTCAAGAAGCCTCCTTGTATAAAATTGATTAAAATTAAGAGCGAATCATTTACTCTTGTGCCAGTCTATGCACAGACAGTGAAAACTAACTTCTTATTTGTATGCGATCTGTAACTGTTGCAATTGGAAGGTATAATAGCTCTAGCTGGATAAAGTATAGCAGCATGCAAAGGTAAATGGCAACTTAGCGGCCCCCGGCTAAGAGGCGTTGGGCGAGGGCAGACAGATGCCGGAGAGAGCGAGGGAGAGGGAGGGAGGGTGGGAGGGAGAGAGATAAGCGGAGCGGGCGGGCTGGGGCGGGAGGCACGAGGGGAGCGCGGGATATAGGACAGTCAGAGACGAGCCAGCGAAGGGGACGGACCATCGGTCATGGTCTCAACAATTTTTTTGGCTTCTCTCATTGTGTGACACTCGGAGTGACAGAGTGACAGAGAGGCTATGAATAGTGACGGTGAAAGAGGGAGTGGTGGCATGGTACTCCGAGGGGCGGTGCCTTGCGATTCAGCGCAGCGCAGGAGCTGGGAGGCAGAGAATCAACCGCCTGTGACGACTCATGACGCGAGGTTTGTCAGTAGATGCCACTGACTACAGGTAAGCGAAGGGCCGAGTTCGCTGTTGTGTGACTGGCCGGGTGCTGCGACAGCTTGACGGGCGCAGTCACCTGCGCTCTCGAGAGCAGGGATGCTTTTGTGGGCAGACCGCGAGGGCGCTACTTTCCAGCTCTTGGGAGCTTATTGTCATGGCTGTCAGCTGTCGATGTATAATCAGCGGGTAGCAGATTCGCGCGACTTGCGTCATTGCACGCGCTGTCTAATCTGGATGGTGTTGTCCGACATCTCGTGCTACAAATTGAATAGGCTGGCAATATCGGCTTGGGAGAGACGGTCGTGGACGTTTTTTTTTCGTTGCTTCGTCAAGAGCTTTTTGACGCTTGAAGCGCGCCACGGCGGCAGCTGTGGTCGTGGGAGCGCTCCGTGAGGACCCAGACTGTGGGTTAGCGCCTGCCTGGTCTCCTGTTGTCACAGTCCGGTGACTGGTTGCCAGCGCGACTGCCGACTGCGGCGGGGGAGCGGGACGGGGTCCGACGTCCCTGTGCATATGGAGTGTGGCAGCGGCTGAGGGCCTGCTGTTGGTCTTTGAAGCCTTTGGGGGCTGGTGGGTGCGGTGCGGTACCCTTGGGGGCGAACGCGGTCAGTGACTTGGTGACTTCGGGTGACATTTTCAGGGCTGATATCAGGTTTGGCCCGTGACCACCTGCACCCTGGTATCGCTGCGCGCTGCAACGGTGCAGCGGCGCTTAACCCCTGCGCGCCGGCTGAGCGAGCGGAGCCGGGTGGGTGACGTCATCGAAGCACGCCGCACGCAGCCAGATCTAGGCGCCGGGCCGGGGCCCTGTTTACGGCCGCTGCCGGCGTGCGCTATCACACGTGCTATTGGGTTTCCATGACATCCGTACATCCGTATCTCCAACCATGCCAAAATGTCGTCACATGTGTGACTTCAGCTCGCAAAATGCGATAGCAGCGTGGTAGCAGCATCGAGTGAAATGCCGCTCAAAAACGGGAATGGCCCTCCCTTTGTCCGCGCGGTCCACGGGCCCGCCGGCGCCGCGGCGCGGCGGACCGGGCAGCGGAGACCCAATAAAGTAAACAGCCCGGCCTTATCGGTCACGGTGTCGTATGGCGGCGCCCGGCCGCATGGCTCACAGCTGGGGCATGGGTGAATGTCCGCTGGAGTCATGGGACGGGCAGTGGGACAGGGCCAAGGTGAAAGGAACATTGTGTTTGAGGGAGAGTCGAGGGGGCAGTGACCCTTCCGGAACGGGGTGATCGTGGTGGTCCCAAATGTTGTCTATTTAGTTTTTTTACAGACCTAAAGCGCGCGCAGCGGCGCGCCGTCGGTTCGCAGGCACACCACGGCTACCTATCGGCTGTCGCTGTTCCGGACCACGCGGGCTCTGACGTGCCCTCGTCTTTGCGTGGCTTGACCGCCTTTGCCGGGCGAGGAGCAGCCGCGTGAGCGGTCGAGGGTCAGTTTGACCGAGTGGTGCGGGTCGCTGGTTGTTGGCAGAATACAATGCGACGTCGCGGACCGATTAGTGGTGTCACCTGGGATTGGACCTTCGGCATTCCGATTTGTCTAATGTTCATTTCGGGAGATGGTTGAACAAAGGTTACACTGGCTTGCACAGCTTGAACAATCACTTGCTCGGGGGACGAGAAATGCTATTTCTTCTATCTCTGCTTCCTGGTTGATAAGAACGAGCTTAGACAAGCTTCGGCAGGGTGCGCTGAAGGAGCAGAGCGCCGGTGGCGACCGGGCAAGCGCCGCGGGATGACCGGGGGGGGGAGGGTGGCAGACCGCTACGGGCGCCACTATCGCGGGTCTGACGGGCGGCCGTGGGAGCTCTTGGGAGTTTCTTACCCTTAACGGCGACAGTAGCTGTCCTAGCTCTCGAGCTTATTGCCCTTGGGGGCGAGCTTGCTGCCCCTTGGGGGCGACGGTAGCTGTTACAGCCCTCGGGAGTTAATTGTCTTTGGGGCGACGATGGCTGTACAAGCTCTTGAGGAGCTTATTGCCCTTGGGGGCGACTGAGGCTGCACGGGCTCTTGGGAGCTTATTGCCCGTGGGGGGGGGGGGCGACGATGGCAGTACAAGCTCTTAGGGAGCTTATTGCCCTTGGGGGCGACTGTGGCTGCACGGGCTCTTGGGAGCTTTGCCCTTGGGGGCGACGATGGTTGTACGAGCTCTTGGGAGCTTATTGCCCTTGGGGGCGACGACGGCCGTACAAGCTCCTGGGAGCTTATTGTCCTTGGGGCGACTGAGGCTGTACGAGCTCTCGGGAGCTTTGCTCGTGGGGGCGACTGAGGCTGCACGGGCTCTTGGGAGCTTGCCCTTGGGGGCGACGATGGTTGTACGAGCTCTTGGGAGCTTATTCCTCTTGGGGGCGAGCTTGCTGCCCTGGGGGGCGACGGTAGCCGTACGTGCTCTTGGGAGCGTATTGCCCTTGGGGGCGACGATGGCTGTACAAGCTCTTGGGAGCTTATTGCCCTTGGGGGCGACTGCGGCTGTACAAGCTCTTGGGAGCTTTGCCCTTGAGGCGACGATGGTTGTACAAGCTCTTGGGAGCTTATTGCCCTTGGGGGTGAAGGTAACCGTACAAGCCTTTGGGTGCTTATTGCCCTTGGGGGCGACGAGCTTGCTGCCCTGGGGGGCGACGGTAGCCGTACGAGCTCTTGGGAGCTTATTGCCCTTGGGGGCGACGATGGCTGTACAAGCTCTTGGGAGCTTATTGCCCTTGGGGGCGACTGAGGCTATACAAGCTCTTGGGAGCTTTGCCCTTGGGGGCGACAATGGTTGTACAAGCTCTTGGGAGCTTATTGCCCTTGGGGGCGACGGTAACCGTACGAGCCTATGGGTGCTTATTGCCTTTGGGGGCGACGATGGCTGTACGAGCTCTTGGGAGCTTATTTTTTCCTTGGGGCGGGCTTTCTGCCCTTGAGGCGACAGTAGCTGTACGAGCTCTTGGGAGCTTATTGCCCTTCGGGTGCCGATGGCTTCACGAGCGCTTGGGAGCTCATCGCCCTTGGGGGCGAGCTTGCTGCCCCTGGGGGGCGACGGTAGCTCTTGGGAGCTTCTTGCCCTTGGGGGCGACGTTGGCTGTACGGGCTGTTAGGAGCTTTTTGCTCTTAGGGGCGAGCTTGCTGCCCTCGAAGGCGACCGTAGCCTATGAGCTCTAAGGAGCTCACTGCCCTTGGGAGCGACGATGGATGGCTGTATGAGCTCTTGGAACATTATTGCCCTTGGAAGGCGAGCTTGCTGCCTGCCCTCGAAGGCTTCAGCACACGTCCGAGCTCTTGAAGCTTGCCTTTGAGGGCGACGACGGCCGTTCGAGCTCTTGGGAGCTTATTGCCCTGGGAGCGAGCTTGCTGCCCTTGGGGGCGACGGTCGCTGTACGAGCTCATGTGAGCTTTGTCCTTGGGGTGACGATGGCTGCGCAAGCTCTTGCGAGCTTTGGCCTTGGGGCGACGATGGCTGTACGAGCTCTTGGGAGGTTATTGCCCTTGGGGAGAGCTTCCTGCCCTTGGGGGCGACGGTAGCTGTACGTGTTCTTGGTAGCTTAGCGCTTGCTGCCCTTGGGGGTGACGGTAGCCCTATTGCCCTCGGGGGCGACTGGGGCGGTACGAGCTCTTGGGAACTTATTGCACCTAGTGGCGACGACGGCTGTATGAGCTCTTGGGAGCTTATTGCCCTTGGGGCGAGCTTGCTCCCCTTGGGGCGACGGTAGCTGTACGAGCTTTTGGGAGGTTCTTGCCCTTGGGGCGGCCGAGGCTGTACGAGCTCTTGGGAGCTTTGCCTTTGGGACCGACAGCAGCCCTACGAGCTCTTAGAAGCTTATTGCCCTTAGGCGCAGCCACTGGGTGCGGCACTGTCGGGAGCCCCCTGGCGCTCGCCGGACGCCGCCGCGCCTGACCCTCAAGGAGCGACACCCAAGGCCGTACTTGGTAGCCGGGAGCGGCCCGGTTCTCTTCCCAGATGTGTGTGCTTTCGCCTTGGGCGGGAGTAAGAGGTCCGGTTATCTTACCCGATGTTTGCTGTTCGCCCTGTTCTCTCTGTCCGCCGCGTGTCCGCGCCCGCCGCGCCGCGACCGCCCGGCGCGGGGAGGGGCACGCGATGGGGGCCGAAGGTCCACCGCGCGGCCAACGCGCGGTTGCCGTTCTAATTACTGGATTGGAGGATGCGCCACGGGGCGGCGTCCGCCCAGCTGCGCGCCCCCATCCCTGGTGGGGGGAGGGGGAGGGCGCGGTGACAGGGCGGGCGCTTGGCCGGCTCGAGTGGCGCGGCGGCACACACGGGGGCGCTTGCCACCCCCTCCCTCGTCACTCGCAGGGGGGGGGGTGTAGGCGCGAACGGCTCGGCCATCTGCGGGCAGTGGGCGACGGTTCGCACGTGTCGCGGCGGCGCGGGGACCGGCACTGGGTCGACGAGGAGGGCGTAACGCGCTGCCTTTTTCGGCGGGCTGCGTGCCAGCAATTCTTTCGTTTCACAACCGGACCGCGGGCCGCGGCGGGTGTGAGCTCCGGGTGTGTGGACGCGCCAGAGCGACCCGTCCGACTATCTGTATCTGCCGGCGACCTATACGGTCATCTGACCGGTGCGGGCGTTGGGGCTGTACTGTAACTTGGGGCTGTGCAAGCTCTGGGGAGCTTATTGCCCTTGGGGGCAGACCGCGTGGATGCTACTGTCGGGAGCCTGGGGGAGAATGACGGGGGCTTGCGAGCTCTTGGAAGATCATAGTTGACGGTGCGAGCTCTTGGGAGCTTATGGCCCTTGGGGGCACACCGTTAGGGACGCTACAGTCGAAGCTCTTGGGAGTCTGACGAGGGGACTTTGCCAGCTCTTGGGAGCTTATTGCCCTTGGGGGCAGGCTGCATGCGCGCTACTGTCCAGGGCTCTTGGGAGCATGACGGGTGGCCGTGCGAGCTCTTGGGAGATAATAGTTGGCGGTGCGAGCTCTTGGGAGCTTATAGCCCTTGGGGGCACACCGTTAGTGACTCTACTGTCGAGAGCTCTTGGGGGCTGTCAGGTGGCTGTGCGAGTTTTTGGGTGCTCTTGCCCTGGGACATACCGTTACGAGCGCTGATGTCGAGAGCTCCTGGGAGCCTGACGAAGGGAGCTGCGCGAGCTATTGGGTACTACTGCCCTTGGTGCAGACCGCCAAGGCCGCTGTTGTCGAGAGTTCTTGGGAGCCTGACCGGTGGCCGGGCGAGCTATTTGGAGCTTCTTGCCCTGGGGGCTAGCTGCTACGATCGTTTTCTGTCGCGACCTCCAGGAAGCTTGAGGGGTTACTGTGCGAGCTCTCGGGAGCTCATTGCCCTTGGGGGCAGACCGCTATGGGTGCTACTGTAGAGAGCTACGAGTATTGGGAGCCTGAAGGATGGCGGCGCGAGCTCGCGAGAGCTTCTTGCCCTTGGGGGCAGACCGCTTGGGTGCCAATGTCTAGAGCTCGTTGGAGCCGGACGGGTGGCTGCGCAAACTCTTCAGAGCTATTGCTCTTTGGGGCAGACCGCATAGGCGCTACTGTTGGAAGCTTTAGGAGCCAAGCGACTGCTCGAGCCGGCGGGAGCCTATTGTCCTTGGGAGCAGACGGATACGGGTGTTACTGTCGAGAGCTCTTGGGAGCCGACGGATGGCCGTGCGAGCTCTTGGGAGCTTATTGCCCTCGGGGGAAGCCTCTATGGGGCTAGTGTCGAGAGCTCCTGGGAGCTTACAGTTGGCTGTGCGAGCTCTTAGGAGCCTCTTGCCGCTGGGGGCAGACCGCTAAGAGTGTTCACATCGGGAGCTCTATTGAGCATGACGGGTACCCGTGCGAGCTCTCGGGAGCTTATTGCTCTAGGGTTACTGACGAGAGCTCTTGGGAGCTTACAGTGGGCTGTGCGAGCTCCGAGCTCTTGAGAGCATCTTGCCCTGGGAGGGGGGAGGGGCAGACCGCTACGTATGTTTCATGCCACGAGCTCTAGGGAGCGCAAGAGAGCATCACGGATGGCTGCGATTTGCGAGAGCTCTTGGGAGCTTTAAGTTGGCTAAACAAGCTCTCGGGGGCTTCCTGCCTTCAAGGACAGGCCGCTTCGGGTGTTTTTCCCCTGCGCGAGCTAGGGAACATGACGGGTGGCCGTGGCAGCTCTCGGGAGCTCTCCACTTGACTGCGCGAGCTCTTGGGAGCTTAATGCCCTCGGGGCAGACCGCTACGGGCGTTTCCTGGCGCAGCTCAAGGGAGTATGATAGGTGGCCGTGGGGGCTCAATTGGGAACTCGCAGTTGGCTGGTTAAGCTTGGGAGTTCCTTGCCCCGGGGGCAGACTGCTACGGGGGTTTTCCTGTCGCGAGCTCAAGGGAGCATGGCGAGTGGCTGTGAGCTCTTGGGAGCTTACAGTGGGCTGGACCAGCTCTCGGGTTCCTGCCCTTGGGGGCAGACCGCTCCGGATGGTTCCGGTCCCGAACTCTAGGGAACACTACGAGTGGCTGTGGAAACTCTTAGGAGCTTACAATTAGCTACGTGGCCTATTGCGTGGTCGCTCCGTTTGGCGGGGTTTGGCGGGTGGTTCCAGGAGCAGGAACTGCCACCAGTGGGCGATCGGCCTTTACTCAGCCAACAGAGTGTCTAGATCACGGAGGCGTCAGGCATGAGCCCAATGGCAACTTAGCGGCCCCCGGCTAAGAGGCGTTGGGCGAGGGCAGACAGATGCCGGAGAGAGCGAGGGAGAGGGAGGGAGGGTGGGAGGGAGAGAGATAAGCGGAGCGGGCGGGCTGGGGCGGGAGGCACGAGGGGAGCGCGGGATATAGGACAGTCAGAGACGAGCCAGCGAAGGGGACGGACCATCGGTCATGGTCTCAACAATTTTTTTTTTGTTCTTCTTTGTTTTTTTTTTCCCTGTCGTGACCCCACTGTGGCGGGTGGTTCCAGGAGCAGGAACTGCCACCAGTGGGCGATCGGCCTTTACTCAGCCAACAGAGTGTCTAGATCACGGAGGCGTCAGGCATGAGCCCAATGTTAATTACTAAAGCAATAAACTACCAGTCTGACATAAACAATGCCATCAAAAACAATGCATGAGACAATTCAGACAGCCTCTTACGAGCTTAACTATGCATAATGAGGGGTTGTTTGTTAACCTTTATTGCTCTACATAGTCGTGCAATGAGTGTAATTTGTTCTATAAGTGCATAAAGCGTTACGTACATGTGTTTATAATATTGTTTTGGGCGTTCATCCGTAGCGTCAACCAAATCGATAGGCATTCATTGTTTAACCCTATTCCTGGCGGGCTCCGCCGGGACAAGAAACTGGCGGGGGGGGGGGCCGATTCGCCCCCCCCTGAGATCTCGAGAACGAAGCAAGATAGCGACAAGCGGTAAACGGCATCGGATACGCACGGCCAAGATCTACAATTTTTACTCAGGTCATTTTCAGGTCAGGTCAAAGATGACGTCACAGGGGTCGAAAAAGTCAAAATGGCGGCGCTAGATATGGAGAGAGTTTTTCTCGAATAACTTTCGAATTAGTCAAGATAGGAACAAACTAAGGGCATCATCGTGATCCTCTCGTCAATCCGCATCGAATGATATATATGTTGACCTCGAAAGGTCAAGGTCAAAGGTTGACCTCAGGTCACGTGACCTCGAGGTCATCATGTATATCATTCGATGCGTCTTGACGAGCTGAACACAATGAGACCATCCACGCGTCTGTATCTTGTTCCTGTACGGAGTTATTGGCCAAAAACCTTTGGTGACCTTTGATGACGTCACATGACCTCACAGCTGCCCAACAGCAAAACAGACCTCAAGGTAGTGAAGGTTGATCGTATATGAAGTCATGCATGGTATATGGGGCCATTCCGACCCGTTTTAGTGGTAAAAACAGGGAGTTGATTTTTCCCCCATTGACTTATAATGGGGAGGTCGCGAAATTGACCTGACCTTAGGTCACCGATATCAAAATTCCGAGATATACAAATTGCACATACTGGTACCCTTACTAAACCCTGAAGAGAAGAAATTGATCGGTCAAAAACTCTAGCTCTGGCGTGATTGCAAACTTTTTTAAGGTAGGGTCACCAAACCGCCTCTGGTGACCTGACCTGAGGTCAGATCAACTCAAAATTTTCAGACATGTTGCATAGAAGCCTTTTAGGAAAAGTCAGAAAATTTGAGCTTCCTAGGTCAACGCGTTTGGGAGAAATAACCAAAAAACCTCAGGGGGGCTCCTGAGGCCCCCCCGCCAGGAATAGGGTTAATCGAGCCTCACAAAAATGAAGAATATGTGATGCGGACTACAGATGCCCACTTAGCACTGCAATATACATTCTTGCCAACTCATGTGAGTAGTCTTTCTTATTATCAACTTTCTTAGCTATATTTTATATATTTTTCTTTAAATAATTTTCAATTTCATATTCATAGCGTTGAATATGATGACAATAATTGAACCTTAATAAAAGCGCGATAGCCCTCATCGGTCCTCAATGCCTTACCGTGCCGTTGATGGGTCGTAGAGCGGTCTCGTTGAACACTATGATCCTGGGCTGCTGTATCGAGTCAAACTGACGGCCGTGGACGGTCAGCGGCCGGCCGCCAGAGACGTAGCTCTTCAGCGGACGAATGTCCAGCACCACCGGGTCTGGGGGGTCAAGGAGACAGGTCAAAAGATATAAGACTATCGCTTTCTGCCGGAGAGGTAAGGCGGCAGCGATTGACATGCAAAAAAAAAATCAAGATTCAAGGTGTGTGCTTTATTCGTAGTACGATTATGTTGGTCTGCTGTCTGAAAACGCGTTCTTCAGTTCAGTTTGTCATGAAGACATTTTAGGCAGATACCAGGGGCGAGTGACTACCAGCAGTAAACTACAACTTGTTCCGGTGCGGTTGCACTCTAATTCATATACAGTCATTAACGGTGGGAGCAGAGCCATATGTTGTTCACATGGCATTTCACAACAGTCGCAGTGCAAGTTGTAATTGAAAGCGAACATGAGAAAATAACATTTTTACAATTACACAGCTGCCACGGTGACTATCACAGCTGCATTGCATGGCTAATCATGTCTGACAATGTTCTTGAGATGATTATCTCTTAGGATGAAGGACTTAAAATTACACCGCAACTTCGCCAGTAAATGGGAATGGCAGAGCTGAAGGAGTGGAACATAATACAGACAAAAGGCAATGTTACTACCACACCACCGCTTAGAAGAAATATGCTAAAAGCAGGTGCATGCGGTACAAAAAGATGTAATCAAGGGGATAAGTATAACTATTTGCGATCATTTGTTTCACAACCTACCAGCTGTCAAACCTGCCCGGTAGCTTATTAAAATAGGGAGCATAACGGAGCTAACATTGCAGAGATTGCTCCCAAATTGGGCAAAGTGCTCGTAAGTCATCTGATTGTCATCTTACCCGGGGTGTACTGGAAGTGATCGCTCAGGATTCTGATCGCTCCATCCAGCGTGACGACCACCTGGTTACCCCTGCTGGCCTTCTGTGACGCTGACGTCACGCACGTGACGGTCGCTGTGTCACGTGACGCCACACGGCACGGCCGGCCGCCCAGCGTGACGGTCAGGTTTGACCCGATGTCCAGATTTGACCCGGTCAAAGTCAGCTGTGTTCCACCACTACGAGGGCCGAGCCGAGGAAAAATGTCCGATACGTCGAAACGCTGGAATGGGGAACCGACTCTGGTGAGGTGTCCGTTTTTTGTTGGCGATTTTGACATTAAAGAACGCAAAAATATTTTGGTTTAAAAGGTTAATTTTCTACTGATTTTTTAAATTGTATTGAAGCATTTTTCGGTTTAGAAAGATAAAATTTTGGATTGGCATGAACTTAAACGCTATATATTTGCAGGGGATTTTGGACATACTCGTACCTGATAACGGAATGTGACTGCCGAATCTGCGAATCCGGCGTTGTTTCCCAGTTTGACCGTTTCTTCTGCGGGCTGGGTGACGGCGCCGGTGCGGCACATGACCTTGACCGAGACCTCGTAGTCGACAAGGCCACAGGGCACCCGGCCGACGAAGATGCGTCCGGTCACCTCGTTTCGGTGCAGTCCCAGGTTTCTGCCCTCGATGGTGAGCAGGGTGCCGCCCTCCAGAGGACCCGAACGGGGATATATCTGAAAAGGAATAGAAAAATACATTATACAGAGATGTGTTGCCGTAATTCAAACCGCGCCAGCACGGTGCAGTGCAGTGGTTCGATCGTAACACACCGAGGCGTCGGGAGTAGGGAAGCTGGAGAAAACGAACGTTCTGTTTTTGAAAATCGATCGTTCAAGGCTCACGTGCCAGTTGTGTCCTTGCCGAAGGGTTCCGGCTCGATTCCTGAACACGTTCCTGAGCACTGTCCCATTGAACTATCTGACGCATTTCTCCGAGCCTCCGGAGGCCCAGGCAGGTGTGAGCACCAATGATCCGTCTGCCGTCGGATTAGCAGTGTTTCCCTAAACCATCTGTCAGGACCAGCCCGACGGGTCGGCCAGGGGCTCAGCTCACACCTGTCTCAAAGACCGGAGCCCCAAGGGTCACTTCACACCCCATTCGGAGACCCTGGTGCCATTATACCTCCACGCATCGGATGAACGCAGTCACGCGGACTGGTCTACCTCCTGAGTCATCAGAGAGACCCGGGGCCCCGCGGCGCGATCATATATAATGGACGAAGCTGCAGTCGCTGAATGGAAGGAGGCGGAAGCGGAGATGTTATGTACTGAGAGGTGCATTGCCTAAGGGGTGGATTTACCAGTGCCGTGTGGTTTCGAGTACCGCTCCCATCGCCGTCCCTTGTTATGCTTTGTGTCCGTCATACTCAATCCGACCACATCAAACGTCTGAGCTGAGAGGAAGACAGGTTTCGGGAATGCAATTTAACTGATAATGAAGAGGCCAGAGTAAATGAGAACACCTAGGCCTTTCTTCGCAAATTCGGGAGAACACCCGATGGAGCAGCTGAAATAAGACATGCGTATTGCGAATAGCATACTACGAGTTGTTGCTACGATAAGTTGTTGCTACGAATAGCAACAACTTATCGGTTATAAAGATCATCCCTTCCCCTCATAATCATGATCACTGTCTCTCGCCAGGAACATGCAATTCATGCAATGTCATTGTGGCAAGGTCGTGAACGAAGTGTGATTCAGTGCACCCACCTGATAAATCTGCGGCCGGGGACACTCGGTGACCGGCTTCTGAAGGCACTGCTCGCTGAATCGGCACTGTCCGCCGCACCACTGGCACCTGAAGGACGAGGTCATCGAGAAAGTTAGGTCTCCGGCCTCGGCCATAACGTTCAGATGATACACCCGAGTAAAACATTTTTTTTTCTTTGAAAAAGTTGGGAGAGATGTGCTATTACAGCTGTCTGATCGAGTAATGACTTGAATTCAACTTGTAAATCCTGGCCTTGTGAATTGCCAGGTTATATAAAACAAAGGTTAGAAATAATTTCTGTATTCACCTGTATCTGGGGTCCCTGGTGAGACATAGGGAGCAGTCCTCCGACCCCTGGTGGGTGGCCAGCAGGGCGCACTTGTACAGCGTGAAGTCCACAGAGCCGATGAGGTTGTCGTTCCGTTTGACGCTGACCGTGGCGCTGATTGATGATTGGTTGGCGCGGTACGAGAACTTGACGGTGCAAAAGAAGGAATTGTGAGCTTGTTAGCACAAGTCTCCAATAAAATAAGGAACATTGCAAAAACATAACAAATAGGATAGCAAATCCGATGAATTAGTTGGGAACGGTATGGAATAACTGGCAAAATATGGAATGTATTTTTACTGAAATGCATCGTCAACAATGTCCCGTTTGATAAGACATACAAAGAAAGCCAATCACACAGACAGGTAAAGAGCAGACATCTGTTTCGACTTTGAGCACACCTTGTTCTTGTCGCACACAATGAGCCGCCCGGCGTCGAGTCTACCGGGCACCATCACGGTCCGGCCCTCGATGACGATGACGCACGTGTAGCTGGACTGTCCGGCCAACGGCGACGGCAGGTTGGTCACCTCCAGCACGAGACTGTGGGCGACCTCGTCAGCGACCAGGATCGGCTGTCGGGGCGGCACCACCGCCGGACAGCCCAGCTCGGACGGAGAGAGCACCTGACGGGGTACACGAAACCGAACCGGTCACGGGGAAAACGTCTACGGCAAGCGCAAACGGTGGCTGCGGCAGTGACTAGTGAGCATGTTATCTCTCGCCTGATGCTAGGTCTTTTCGGTTTGTAATCAAAGTACCGCTGTCTGCAGCTAAATGTGCTGAACATTCGATACTGTTACGATCCCTTCGTCTTCGTCGAGAATCGTACCGATCACTAGACAAGCCAAGAGAGGCAACTTATGGCGACACTAGCCGTCCATTCAAACGAAGCCCGACATTTCGGCCAAGTTTTGAAGATGTGCTGAGTGGTCTGAAAACAGACATCTTCACTGGGACGAGGTCCAGTTTCCGTGCGAACTTTCCGCACAAACAAACAGGGAACGGGTCCATTCGGAGCTATATGTGGGTCTATTACGCGCGAGACGGCGCGGAAAGTAAATAACGAACGGGATGCCGTAAATTCGTCGGAAGTGATGGACGGCAGTAGCGTCACGGCTCGTCCTCCGGGAGCGGGGCCTGACGTCATTAGGGGCGTGACCTGAAGGACGGTCACAACGGCGTGTTGATATGCACCATCGTTCAGAGTAATGGTCTGCGCTTAGAAGACGCGCCTCGGCTTTGCGCTGATGAGAACGGCTGCAACAGCGCTGTTTGGAACGAGAAATGCTTATGGCATCATTTCGAGTACGATGCCCGGTGTCTTGGAGAAGGGCGTCCATTAGGCTAAATTATGCCGTATAGGGCTAAATGTAGACACTGGAAAATACGGTCTGTTGTTGAACTCTTTTGCTTAGATGGCATCGACGTTTATGCTTATGCACAAGCATCATTGTTATGGCATTATGTAATGCTTCAGACGCCTGGTATAGAAACGCAAAACAGTAACAAGTCTGAAGACAATGATATAGATTGATGAAGTCACCTTTGGAGAAGACACCAAGAAAAACGCTTTCTCACTTTTCATGCGTTTTTTTAGCATCCTGGGATAGGAAGCGTATCTTCCAAATCGGCGTCTCAGCCAACTTCAACAAAACCACAAAAACAGTCGGGTCCTGTCAAAGTATGACAGCTCTCGCAAAAAAGCGCCCTGTTGACTAGAATGATGCATTGCGGCTTCAACTCAGACGTTAGACCATAAAATAGGACCCCAAAGCCTGCTGGGATAGCATATGAGACACAATAAAGAAGGTGATGGAGCCGGTTGCCACGGCTCCCTGCAGTGCATTCACCAGGTGTAGAGGTGATATCCGAGTTGACTTACCTTACCGACCATTCTGGAAATGGAGCCTCTGTGACAGATGCTGTTCTCGTTACCGCACTTGTTGTCGTACACGCACCAGCTGCACTGCCACTGTGACGTCACACACGAACCGCAGGTTGTGTGCCGGCCGCAGTCAAAGTAGACGAACTGGCGCGTCACAAAGTCCTTCTTGGTCTCGGAGGAGCGCACGGAGAGCGGCACGGTCACGTGATCGGCCGAGGGCGCCAGCAGGGGTCGGAGGCTGAGCGGCGGCGCCGGACAGCGCAGGCCGCGAACGGTGGCCGTGGCGTCGACGGGCGGCGCTGAGCCGAACACGCACTGGTACTTGGCGCCCGACGGCAGCGGCGGCAGCGCGCGGATCGACAGATGAATCTGAAAATGAGAAAAACATGATAATGTAATCGTCACAATATCATGTATCCCATCAAACATTACTTATGATGACTAGTGGTCATCATTCGTGAACAGGGAAATGCTAATGTCATTCCGCACAGTGACCACATCATGGTATTTAATCATGGTCGCGCTGTCTGATGAAAAGCGATGGATCGGTCCATTCCATCCAATTTTCGGACCCACGGTGGCACGGCGCTGTGAAGTTTCCGCCCGTTGGAGCCAATCATCCATCGCTGCCGAAATTTAATCGGCCCGCATTGTCGTCCAACCCTTCCCCAAATCCCACTCCATTAATACGCCACCGGCGACGGCCGTGGCACCGCGAGGGGCAGACGGGGCTGGCCGCCGCCCCAGCGTCCATCAGCGCCGCCGATGACGGATCTGTGCCGACACATGGCGTGTCAGCGGGCGTCATCAGACGGACGGGCCGAGTGTATCGCCACCATCGCCGGCGTCACCTTCGGCCGTCAGCGCGTCATCGCCGGCACACGGCTTCATCAGATACCCATGACGGCGAAGTGACGGTACAGCGTCCCGTCCAACCGTCACAGAGGGGAGAGGGCACTCCAGGCTCTAGGGGGTCCTCCGACTGTTCAATTGCACTGGGACTGCTCTGGTCCCGACGGATTCGCTCACATATCGACCGAGCGGAGGGTCAGAAGAAGGGATTGATTGTGCTGGCGGCGGCCGGCGGTGAAGAGTGATTGGTGGTCGTGGGCCAATTTGTGGCCGCGCAGAGGGGACGCTGTGGCACGGTGAACTGGCTGGCCATTCGTCAGTTTAGCACCCCGCTCGCCCATCATTCAGCGCCTCTCCCTGAAGGCTGGGGAGCTCAGACTGGTGGCCGCGGCGGGAGCTGAAATCAGGGGTCTGTGGATGTGGTGGCCGGGAGACCGGCTCAAGTTCTGTCCACGAGGGTACGATAGAGTATGATGTCATCATAGCAGCTCTGTATGACCACGAGCGGGCTTTAGTAGCAAAACTCGTGACGACAAGGCGTAAATTAATTAAATAAAATTTACTTGAAAATACCTGCTAGGAGCCCGTTCATAAAGAATCACCGCAGATGCAGCGAGCTCAGGTATAATCCTTAGAGCTGATCATGTTCCCGACCATTATTTTGCTTGAAGCCCGTCACATGCAAATGAAGACTGAGTGCTTTTCCACCGTGTTTCATAAATCCTCTCTCCCGCCGGTACAGCTTCAGCGATAGCTCGGCGATCCAGTTTCAGTTTGAGTGGTCGTGACGCATTAAGCCCACACTTAGCAAGTCCGTGGCAAATGGGCGGCGGGTCGGGGCCGGGAGGCCGTAAAGGGCGCTGAATCGCCGCCAGATGCCGTGATACGTTATCGACTCGCCGTGCCCATTGACGTCGACCTTCCAAGCGCACCGTGAAAAGAGCGCTCGAACTCTTAGGGCATCGGTGCTATCTGATTTTTTATTGTCAATAGAGCTCGGCGATGAATGGTGGTCGTTTTTTAGGGGATATTTCATGGAGGATGGCGATAATTTATCACGCAGCCTGCAGCTGTGGCTTCGGTCCCGAGCGCTCGATGGACGGCATCTGCTCACTTCGTTTGACACAATTCAGCCACGAATATGCCGCTATTTGTCAAGCCATTTGAGTGAGATCGCAACATTGTGTATCGGACGGGTTCAAGGCGGAACATTAAATGCAGTGATTTAACCCTCGCCCGTAAACGGCGATCTGCCACCTTCGCCCATGCAGGGGGGGGGGGTTGGTGCGACCCCCCCCCCTTGGCGTTTGAAAACGGAGCGTCGTAGAGCTTAGCGGAAAAGACCAACGGATTGCTCTCGCCGAGATCTCGCGATTGGTGGTATATTTTCTGGTCCTAGGTCAACATTTGACCTACTTTTGACCGGTCAAAGGTCAAATTTTCGGAAAAATAGACTTTTTTCAACTTTCCGCGGCGATTGCGGCAAAACGGTGGGAGATATCGACTTGAAACCTTCACTATCGTGTTCCTTGATCAATTCTCTATCGTTTGGTATGTATTTCGTTTCCCTAGCTCTAAAAATGGCGCGTTGGGAGCGCCGGAAGTCGGCAAGGTCACAGTCGGCGGCAGAAATTCGAAAAATCAAAATTTAAATTTTTGAAATCTGATTGTATTTTTGGATTTGGAAGGTCCATTTGCTCCCTATAGAAGCTAATATTGCTGCATATTCCCATTGAGGTGACAAGAATTAGCAAAATAGTGGTTCGGGCGCTTTTCAAAAATAGTACCGGACGCTGTTCCTCTTGTGACGTCATAGCTCCGTGACCTGACCTGACCCGGTCAAGTTTCTTATACCATATGATAGCCAATACTTGCCCCAACATGCATGAGAAGTTTCATCACGATCCATCAACCGATGTCCGTACCACCGGCAGGAAACCTCGGGCGTTGGCACTCAGTTTGTGAAAATCCGGCCGGAGGCTGTTCCCTTTGTGACGTCATAACTCCGTGACCTGACATGACTCGGTCAAATTTTTTTTTATCAAAAGATGCGCAAGGTTTGCCCCATAAGGTACCCAAAATTTGGCGCAGCGCCGCCGTTTTTGCACTATTTCCGAAAAACCTCAGGGGGGGGGGGGTGCACCAACCCCCCCCCTACATGGGCGAGGGTTAACACTATCGAGCTGTTCGACACGAAACCAATCTACCATGCTCTACGTTGAGCCTTTCTTTAAAATTTTAAAATATGAAGCTCACATACGTACAAAAACTCCCTTAGTCCCTCAGAAACGCTCGGTGGAATGTTTTCCGTGTCAGATCCTGTAGCAGTTGCGGCCTAGCAACACCGTCGACACCACAGGCCGGCGATGAGAGCTCCTTGTGCGACGAAGAGCTCCAAGTACACCAGTCGTGATGCATTACGACGTGATGCGATTTGGGAGATGGATTCCGCCGCTCTGCCGTGCTCCGTCATCACCGGGCGAGACGCAAGGAGACTCAGGCTGAGCGTGGCGGAGGGCATAAATGATACTGAAAGGCTGAAATAATGCTCACTCGTAATTAAGAGTATGTACATGCGGTTCTTCCAGGAGTGTGGAACGTAAGTACTGTATGTCACGTCAGTTACGAAGCTCCACACGATAAAATACGATAAAATCGAACGACGACACTCAACTACCGATCAGTTTGCTGACAAACTGTACCGCACGGCGTTGGTGTATTGCGGGACAGCCTACCCCCTATATGTGTAAGGCATGCTAATAACCCGCGCACCGACGGGGGGGGGGGCGGATATCCGCCCCCCCTGAGGTTTTTCGCGAATAGCGGGAAAACCGCGGCGCGTAGCGCCGCGAAATTTGGTATGACTATTCCCTTATCAATTTTACACATGGTGTGCAAGTTTGAACCTCCTACCTTTCAAGGTCAGGTCACCAGGTCACTTTGAATGACCCAACCTCAAGTCACTTTTTTGCAACTTTGTCACCGTGCCAGAGCTACAGTAGATGTCGGAGGCCTTTGAAAGTCTCAGGATGTTATTAGGTCATTAGTAGCTACAATTTGTATATCTCGGAATTTTGATATCGGTGACCTAAGGTCAGGTCAATTTCGCGACCTCCCCATTATAAGTCAATGGGGGAAAAATCAACTCCCTGTTTTTACCACTAAAACGGGTCGGAATGGCCCCACATACCATACATGACTTCATATACGATCAACCTTCACTACCTTGAGGTCTGTTTTGCTGTTGGGCAGCTGTGAGGTCATGTGACGTCATCAAAGGTCACCAAAGGTTTTTGGCCAATAACTCCGTACAGGAACAAGATACAGACGCGTGGATGGTCTCATTGTGTTCAGCTCGTCAAGACGCATCGAATGATATACATGATGACCTCGAGGTCACGTGACCTGAGGTCAACCTTTGACCTTGACCTTTCGAGGTCAACATATATATCATTCGATGCGGATTGACGAGAGGATCACGATGATGCCCTTAGTTTGTTCCTATCTTGACTAATTCGAAAGTTATTCGAGAAAAACTCTCTCCATATTTAGCGCCGCCATTTTGACTTTTTCGACCCCTGTGACGTCATCTTTGACCTGACCTGAAAATGACCTTAGTAAAAATTGTAGATCTTGACCGTGCGTATTCGATGCCGTTTACCGCTTGTCGCTATCTTGCTTCGTTCTCGAGATCTCAGGGGGGGGCGGTCATCCGCCCCCCCCCCCGTCGGTACTAAGTTGGCGCAGACCCCCGTCGGTGCGCGGGTTAAGATCATGGCGCCTACTGCAATGTTTTCCAATGTCTTCCTCAAATAAATGTGCCTTAATATGAGATTCAAATGCGACTCGTTACCTGGTTAATATGCAAAAAAGGACAAAATGTGACACTGTTATTAGCTGAAGAAGCGACAAGAGAAAGCCACAAACATGTCCAATTATGCCGAGCAACATGTTATTGAAGGTAAACATTTGAATGGGAACTGGATGTCTATTATTGCTCAACTTAATCATGGATTTCATGTAAAACTGTAATGGTCTTTACTGGATGTGGATACTGTCCCATTTGTTAATGATTATGTAATGCTCTGTGCTCAGCAATAAGAAAGAGTGGCTGATACGAATAGCTGTTAATGATTATGTAATGCTCTGTGCTCAGCAATAAGAAAGAGTGGCTGATACGAATAGCTTGGTTTGTATGTCCCGTGTTCCGGACTCGGTATCATATTCAGCACCAGCAATCAGCATTCAGCATGTATGTATTCTGAGAATTCCGCGGCTTTGGACAACATAAATGACTTTACCTGTCTGACATGATTAGGGCGGTCCTTTGAAAAATTACACTGTTGCATTGACACAAAGATGAAAGGCATCACTTACATAACCTATATCCACACTGCCTCCCAGATCATAACCAAGGCCACCACCTGTATGTGTGCTTGTAAGGGCTGACAAGTGTCTGGTTTCAGAAGCTTGACACCTAAATCCAGTCTGGCATGAAAAATCGTCTTCTTTATCAC